CAGGCACTACAAAAATTAATGGGTAATTGAGTAAATCCTAAATCCAAGGTGTATGGTATAATGATAAAAATCTGATCTCACAAATTATTTAAACCATTTTAAGTTTAAAATAATAAGTGTAGAGACTGTAGTAAATCATTAAGAACCCAGGAAAGTAAAAGAAAAGTTTATACAACAATTATGTTTTAATATCCCGTCCTAGTTCTAACATACATTTTCTTGCTCTGTATAGGACTGGGTCCAGCAGGACCTCCAACTAATTGCCTTTTCGACATGCATTTAATCTCTATTAGAGCGGACGAGCTAGTGATAGAAAACTTTGCCAGTAACACCCCACATGTGGAGCGGGCTTCATAAATTATTAAGGGGTTCGAAGGGATACGGGGTTCGATTGTTCATCCCACACTTTTGGCATTTAAAACAAATTGTTGTTCTACGCTACATAGTTCGATTATTTGGTCCCCAGGGGCGCAGGAAGCACAAAACAGAACAGAACCGGACAGGACAGGAAGACAGGAAAAGTTTCCCCAAAAGTCCTGCTGTCTGTGTTGATAATGATGGAAGTCATCACATGTGAGTGGTGAGAGCTGAGTGTCGAGGAGTTTCCCTCTGTATTTTTTCCCCCTGTGGGTAAAGGAAGGTGTGAGCATGCTCCTTACATATCAATAACGTTTTAGGTTTAGGTAAACCCTCATGTTTCCCTTTAGAACAACAGCTGTGTTGACTGCTGATGATCTTTTAATTGAAGTTCCAAGTTTTTGTTGGGGAATGTAATTGTATCTGGGCTATCGGCTAATAGCTTCTCAGGAATCTGCAGCCATGCACACAAAAATGCAAATAAACGCGACCGCTCGGCATTCAATAACCGGAGTTTCCCCAGTTGCGAAATCAAATTTTACGACGAGCCACGGGAATCCCTTAATAAACAGTTGAAATCTTGAGCAAAAGTAGCGAAAATTCCAACCCCCCTCGCCACAGCGATTGCCGTTAATTAAACCCTTTTTCGGCTGCTAAAAATCTCTGTGGGCAAAGTTTTTCCATTAAAGGAAAACCGGGGCCGAAGGCGGCCGCAGGCAAAACGAAATCAAAAAGTAAAAATTTATGAAGCGTTTAATTGAATTAATTAAAAGCAATAATACCTTGAAATAATTGCGGCTAATAGAAAAACTTTTGTGCACCAATGGTCAGATGAAATGTCAAGATACAGATAGGGAGCACAGAGCAGTAAGAGACATAAATTTAAGGTGAAGTTTTCAGAAATAAAATTTGAATTTAAAAACTGAGCAATTAAGGAAACGTTATGAGAAATTAATATATCACCTGAAGCATACCTTTATCAAGCTTTTAATGATTTGTTTTTGATTGGATATAAAGAAAATATTTATATTAATTAAAGGTGTATTTAATTACCTATATAAAAAACTATATCATCAAATAATCCAACAAAATCTTAGGCTTAATATCAAAGCTATATCTGCAACATTCCCCAAACTTCAGATTCAGATACAGATGCCAGATAGCAGAGACCAGATCTTGGGCTTCTGTTTCAGCTGACTTTTGACAGACAGAGTTATGCGACAAATCCTGGACCAACGGCCGCACCAGCCATAAGTCAAAATTATCAACAAGATGGCGGGACCAGGAGCAGGACCAAATCAGGGCCAGCAAACCCAAAAGGCAGCAGTGAATCCAGGACCTGCTGCTGCCTTCAGTTTTCCAACTGTCACGCACGTAGGCCACGCAACATTGCGAAAAATATGTCTTTGATGTCATAAATCAATTACGAGTGGGATTGCCGCTAACGCCGCCACGATGGCAACCAGGACGACACCCGCCAGGATCCTGCTCCTTTCGAGCAAACAACTTGTTAGAGGTGACTGACTGCCTGCAGCCACACACTCTCAAAGTTTCCCCTGCCAACGATTTTCAAGTCTCGAGTTTAAAACGTGACTAAATTGGACGATTTGAAAGTTTGCTCTTCCAGCTAAGTTACCAAATTAAGTGGACCAAATGAAGTGAAGGAATTCTAAGGGGTATTTTCTGTAAATATATAAAGAAATTATATAAATAGTTTTAACAGGTACATTCTTAGACAACAAGAGAAAAAATACTTTTACTTCATTTTAAAAAATTTGTTAAATTGATAAAATTAACTTGATAAAGGTTCTTATATAAGTTTAATTATAAATATCCAATATTTCCCTCTCAGGCATCTTTAATTCCCTCTGAAATATAGAAATAATTTCTATATTTAACCTGTTCCTTTCTCTCAGTGTCCTGCCCACCTTTTCTAGCTTCGCTCCCCTGAGCCTTTTGTTCTGTAATTATGTCACACACATGGCCGCTGAAGGCGCTGGGGAAGATCCATCACCTCGAGTCCTGGTCCTGTCGAGTGCCAAATGTCAACGTGACATGTGTGAGCACAAGGAGCTCTGGGAGGCAAAGCAGGAGTCCTGTGTTAGTTTATCAAACATAATTAAGAAGTTCTCTGAGCAGAGAGAGAGAGAGAGAGACAATAAACAGAAGTTTAATTATTTTGCAAGTTGCCGTGACCCCGGGGCAAAGGCCGTGAAGCCGAGGGGCTCACCTTTTGACTTATGATGTATTGCGTGCTCCGTGACAGCTGACAGATGACAGCTCACCTCCTGACAAATAGAAGAGATTCCTGAAAGGATTCCACAAATCTTAAAGATTCTACCAAGATACAAGCACTTTCTTAAAGAGTTTCCTTTCCAACCCACTAATTGCCAAAAAGTTGAAAGCACAAGAAAAACAAGTTTCCCAGGACACATTTGCATAAATCAAACAATTAGTCACGCCGTCTATAAAGAGTAATTTTCCAAACCAAAACTATTGTCCAGTGGAAGGATACTTCTTATTTGGTCCTTAATGTCTCCCCGCGGTGTTGTTTGAGCCTCGTCTTACAACTATCCCCCAGAAATATGGGGAAGGTGTCCTGCCGGAGATTCCTCCTCTAATTTATGCGACATTTTCTAGTTTTCCGTTTTGCCATAATAACTTCTAATTCACCTAACCCGACTTGCGACCCTTTTCTGGCGTACAAAATCCAAATCCAAGTCGAAGTAGAAACACTTTTAGCCACTCACCACTTGGCCAGGCACTAATTTATGGTTTTGGGCATTGAAATTTATGGACAAAAAGCTGAACAAAAATACGAAAATACAACTTGTATTTGTTTCAAAATAAAACCCCCAAGCCCAAGGTGACGAACCATTGAATGAAAAAGTACTCCGAAGTTATTCTTAAGTCGCTGTTGAAATACTCTTAGGTAATATAAGAAATTCAAGTAATATATATCATATTTAAAATGATATTTAGATAAGAACAAAAAATGTGTCCCAAGAAATATTATATTTTATATTGCAATTTGTATCTTTATATTAAACATAAAACTAATTAGTGAATAAATACGAATTAAAAGAGGATTTAACTGAACTCCAGTATATATTCAAAGTCTTACCTCGTTCTCAAACAAAGGAAACATTTTTTAAATCAATGATTGACTGAGTGTTAAAAATAAACTTAATCAAGACCGCACAAAGTGGCATATATATAAGCTATATAAATCTCGGCCAAAAACCGTTCGATGCTAATTAAACTGGCTTTTACCACCATCACCTCCGTTGATTAATCAGACAGTTCAGTAACCTTTCTTCCTTAGAGAGTATCTGAGAATAAATGCGGAACTTGTGGAATAAATTACATAAGCTGAGTATCACAATTTTTCTCTCCTTTGGTTCTTTGTGGCTCTCTGGAAAGTTCGCTGCACTGGAGACTTAACTAGTGTTTTAGCTTTAGAGCCCACCTCAGGCACTTATGCAATTGTGCAACTTTTTTTTATTCTGAAACGGAAAAACTCGTTTACAAGCCTCCGAAAAGAATCAACGTTTCTCAGTTCTGTGTGTTTAAATTAAAAGCTTTTTATTAGCAAGAATAAGCGTCACACCTGGTACTTCCAGATACACCGTGAGGAAGCAGGAACCCAATTAATAATTATAGACAAATAGTTTCTTAAGAAAACTAGTTGTGACTTGAAGTTAATTATGCGACTAGACAAGTTGTTCTTTTGTCTTAATCGGATATGCAGCCACGCGAAAATAAGTATTTATTAGATTAATACTACAGTATACTATGATATCTATTTATTCAAAAGATTGATGGAGTTTTCAAGAGTTTTGTGACTTCTTTTAACTTGGAATCTATATAAATTATAAATATAAACTATTTAATACTGGCATTATATACCCAATATTTTTTTCTAAGTGTTTAGCTACTGTTTAGTACTTGCTTCCCTCTCTTTATATTCTCGATTTTGGCCGCTTTCGCTCGACGAACATATTTGGTAATCAGCAGCAGCGGCAGCAACCACGATGGCCAAGTTCAGTGGCCTCGAAGTGTGTTGGTTGTGTGTTTTAGCCAGGTTCTGATATGCTCCAAAACTGGGTTAAGCCTGGTCAGGTAGCTTCAGCCACTCCAAAGATTGCCAAATCTGGGAAGAGGCAGGGTTTCCTCATAATCTCCAACGCCTTTCCAGCTTAAATCTTGGTTCGGGGAAACGATTGCCACACTAAAGTAATAATAATATCCAGTAAAGGTAAACTACAAGAAAATGCAATTAACCGGGCAGACCGAAAAAAAAATCAAATGTCAATCACGTAGTGGAAACCTGTTGTCCGGCTCTCTAACATTTCAATGACTTTGAACTTTTGTTTGATCGCCGGTGGTTGCTTGTGTAGCATTTTACACATTTACACATTTACATATTGATTGTTTGCTTGACCCATTTGCGGAGCCCTCGAGAGCGGCCCACGCCACTTCCACTTTCGTTGACTTTCTTTGTCCACCGTTCGATCGATCAGCGATCGCCGATCGATCGCTCGAGTCTCTTGATCAAATAAAGCCCCTCGCCATGCCCCGCCAGCGGGCCAGGTTGTACTCTCAACCAGTTTGGAGCCTCGTTCTCGCCGGTTCTTGGCCCGGCGCTTTCATAAAAAGTCTTTGGCCAACTTTCTTGGGCTTCATTCGCGCTCCATTCGCGCGCTCGTCACCACATCGTCGTCACCATGAAATCGGTTCTCTGTGCGCTTTTTGTCACGCTGCTGATCAACCTGGGCCAGGGACTGCCCACCACCACCAGTAGTGGTCATGTGAAGGAGGACTCATCCTCCTTTGCTGGAAGAGTCTCGCAGCTGATTGCCCTGCAGCTGCTAAAGTTCAACAAGGACATTGATGCCAATCAAGTGCATTCGCCACTGGGTGTTGCCTCCATTTTGGCCGTCCTTGCTGAGGCCTCCGAAGGTGACACCTACTCCGAGTTCCAGCAGGTCTTTGGTTATCCCAAGGATCGGGATCAGCTGAGGGATACCTACAAGCGAATCTTGGGCAGCTACCAGAACAGAGATGCTGCCGTGGCCCTGCCCTCGTTCCAAACCTGGCTGTACATCTATAGGAATCACAGTGCCCGCGAGGAATTCAAGGATCTGCTGCAGCAGCACTACTATGTGGATGTGAAGGACATTAACCGGCAGGAATATGATTGGAATGAGCCCAACACATCCCTGCAGCTACCAGAGGGCAGTGCGGAATCCTCCGATGGCAGCACTGAGCCCAGCAACAGCAAGGATGTTATAGGCTTCGAGACCCTCAAGAGGATCAACCTGGATGAAGAGGACACGCCGGCTGTGCCGCTAAACGATGGCTATGGCCAGGAAATTGTCGACAAAGAAGCCTCCAAGTTTGATCGCGACATCGATGACAAGCAGTATGTGGAAAAACCAGTTGCCCAGGCTGAGGCCGAGCAGCTCCAAAGAGAACAGCAGCAGCAGCAAGCGGAGACCACCGAATCGAATCTAGAATTGGAATCCCAGCCCGAGGCCACGACAATCATAATCAATAGTTTGGTGGAAAAACAGGAAAAACCTGACATGGCTGCCGAGGAAAATCCAGTGGAGAAGCAGCAGAACAAGCGCAGTGACCAGGAGGAGAGCCAAATCAAGAACCTGGAGGAGAACGAGACGGTGCAGGAGGAGGAGAAGCTGGCCAAGATCATGGCGGCGCCAGCAGTGACCGCCAGTGAACCCGAAAAGGTGCGTCTGCCCCTCCAGAAACTGGAGAGTGCGGTCAAGGCGGTGACCAAGGATGGGGGAGCCGATGAAATAATGCTGGCTTTAGAGTCCCATCTTTCTGCTGTTAGTCGGGTGAGTTTATAAATTATAAATATATATACAGAGAAAAAGAGAGTAACCTTTCTAAATGAACCATGAAATCCTATCAGGTCTATGGTGCCCGTAGCCTGTTCCGCAAGGATGACATCACCTCGGCTCTGAGTGCCAATTCCATCACTGGACGCTCGGTGGGCTCCAAGTCCAAGATGCTGCTCTTCAATGGGCTATATTACCGCGGAAGCTGGGCGAAACCCTTCTACCAGTTGAGAGACGGCAGCGATGAGTTCTTCTTTATGACCAATGAAGATGCCATGAAGGCTCCGATGATGCACGCCCGCGGCAAATTCCAAGTTGCTGAGCTCCCGCAACTAAAGGCCAAGGTCCTAAGTCTACCCTATGAGACTTCCCGCTACTCCTTGTGCATTGTGCTGCCGGATGAGACTGAGGGACTCAGTGAGGTGATTGGACAGTTGCAAACCAGTGACTTCCTGCTGCCCCACAAGCTATTCCAGGAGAAGGAGCTGCATGTTTCGCTGCCCAAATTCCAGGTGGAGGAGACCTCTCGCTCCGAGGCTATGCTCAAGCAAATGGGTCTGAATAAGGTCTTCTCGCGAACCGAGGCCCAGTTGGGTCTGCTGTCCGAGGACCCAGATGTCCATGTGGATGAGATTGTGCAGTTTGTGAATGTGCGAGTGGATGAGGGAGGCAGCAGTGCCAACTCCCTGTCCGCTGCCACCATGCAGGCTCGCTCTCCATCGACGGCGGAGGATGCGGAATCCACCATACTGCCCGTTCCAGAGCCCGAGCCAGAGCAACCTGGCGTGGAACGCTTTGAAATTAATCGACCATTCGCCTATTTTATCGTAGACTGTGAGGAGCAATTTGTGCTGGCCTCAGGCAAGATTTACACTCCAGAGTTCAAGGAGGATCTGCCATCGTCGGGCGTCTCCGTTGAGGTGGAGCTGGAGCAGTCGTAGGCTGCTTAAAACGTCTGCCGGCTTAGTGTATAAGTTAACGTAACGAATTTTCACCGATCCATGCCAATAATAAACGTGCACAATTCATTTTCACAAAAACCAAACGACAAACGACAAAAGGGGAAAACGAAGAAAACGTTTTCCCAGCGCAATCAAAACAGCAATTAATTCGCTTACAGATGAGCACGGGACAGGCCAACCCCCGGAGTACGGGATTCAATTGTCCGTCCGTAATGTGAAATGTATCTGACGGAGGGCATCGCTAATTTCCTACGCCGCGCTGCAAATTTGTCATTGGGTTAAGTCACTGGGAAGGGGGTTGTATTCAGGTTTTTTGGATTCTGCGATTCCGAATCGGAATCATCGATTCACAGGCCACTCAAGCGTGAGGCGCATCCGCCACGTGTCCCTGGCGAGCTGCGCCGGAACGAAAGCTGACAGGACCTCTTCAAGTGGTCAATGGGCTGCAATTAAAACTCTCATTAGAATGCACGATGTCTTCTTTGCCTTCGAGAATATCTCTATCTCACAGTCTGGCCAGGAAGTGCGAGCCCCTTGTTTCCTGCGAAGCGAAAACCACCGAAAACGCATTGCGAAAAGCAAAACACACAACACGGAGAAAATGTGTCTGGAGTTCGCCAACACACACATACACACAGCAGGAGCGGGGTGTCCTTAGACTCTCGAGGTCTGGAGCAGAAAGTGGCGCCGGCCTGGCGGGCGCCAAAAAGCAGAGGTAAAAACAGGAGTAAATGCGTGCCATGATTACAGCGATGACGACTTCCACCCCAAAAAAAAGGAAAGGAGAAGGCGAGGCCAAGGAAGGCTGCTTGGAGCGCAGACTTTACCGAGGGGGAGAGGCTGCGACGGAGACGATGATGTTTCATCTTTTCCACATGAAAACTCACGTAACAAAAATTATGATAATCATAACTTTTTGCCCACATCGACTCCTCCTCCTGTGACCGAGCTGAGTTCCTGGCCGTTTGTTTTGTTAGCCACTGGACAAAGGACCAGGGACCAGGACTGGAGAGCCCAGGGAAAGGTATTCTCCGACTTGGACCTTGGACCGGGCAGGACAGGACTGGCGTCTAGTTTTTTTTTTTTTTTCTTTTGCTTTCTGTCGTCTGGCCGTTGCTCTATTTTTATTAAGTCTTTGCATATAAATCAATGTGGCCCGATATGCAGAAGAGCAGAAAAAGGTATAAAAGATTTATGGGCCCTCATGCCACGTCTCGTTTAAATATTGTTTAACATAATTTCGTGCAAAAGTTTCGAGATGAAGGCGAAGCCAAGCAAAAGCAAACTCTTTCGGAGAATGGATAAAATGAAAGCTACACCCACTCTTCCGATAGATAAATAAACAAAGTGGCCATAAATCCGTCCAGTTGCATCAGCGACAAACGTATAAGATTTATGGCACTGCCTCGAGTCTAATTACAAGTCAAGTTTTGTCGAATTGAAAAGTTTTTTTGGGGAAAATCGAGCAACAAGTGTGGGAAATCAAAAAGTCAGCGGCGCCAGCTGCTTTTCCCAGAAGAGTCTCCCCCCTCACACAGGAAAACTCCGAGCCGTTGACACCGCCACATGTGAACAGCAGCTGTCGCACAATGGAGAACAATGTGGATCTAATCGAGACGAATCGAGTGTTTAGCTTTTAGCAACAAAAACAAAAAAGGAAATTTACAACACATTCTCACTGGGTCCATCACTAAAACACAAGTACTAATACTAAAACACAAGGTCAGAGGGATCACAATTAGAAATCCGCAAAAACCTCTTCGTGACGCATCGCTTTGGCCTTTGGACGTGGCTTCTCGGAGACCTTGTCGAAGTTGGATATATCCTCCGGATTACTGATGTTGGGCACATAAGGAGCACTCACAGTTTGGTTCAGGATCGGTATCCACTCCACCTCCTTGAACCAGTCGTGCTCCTTGATGTCCCGATTGCCATTGATCAGGTTCCCGTAGCTGAAAGAGGGTTCAAAGAATATATAGACTACTTTCAAATAATACGGAATGCTCTTACCGCTTAGAGAGATCGACCTGAAGGAGATGATCTATTAGATGACGCAAGGCACCACTAAAGTAGCTGGGCATTTTGTAGTCGGCCTCACAAATCTTGTTGTACATGCTCATCACATCCCGATTATGGGCGGAAAAGGGGGAATGTCCTGCCACGAACTCGTAGACCAGCACACCGAAGGCCCACCAGTCGACACTGGTTCCATAGGGCTTCGACTGAATGATCTCCGGCGGCAAATACTCTGGAGTTCCACACAATGTCATGGTACGGGTCTCCACTTTCTACAATATACGGAAAATTATTAAATAACCATTAAATAAGTAATATGTAATTAAGAAATTACCTTGGCAAATCCAAAGTCAGTCACCTTGAGGTAACCGTTCTTATCGAGCATTATGTTTTCGGGCTTGAGATCCCTGTAAAGCAGGCTGCAATGATGCAGATATTCCAGAGCTAAAAAGACCTGGGCAGCGTAAAATCGAGCCTGCTTTTCAGTGAACTTGCGCACTCTAAATAATAAAATAGAAATGGAAGATAAATGAAAAGAATGTCTTAGTTTCGTGTTTACTCACTTTCGATGGTAGGTGAAGAGTTCGCCACCACCAATCAGCGGAAGAACAAGGTACAAACTATCGTAGTCCTTGTGGGAGGCGATTAAATGCACCGTGTTGGGGAACATCATTGAGCGCAGGACATTCTTCTCGCTCATCACATGGCCCACCTGCTTGGTCTTCACCAGCTGATCCTTGCTCAGCTGCTTGGAGGCATAGTAAACACCCGAGTCCTTCTCCCTCACAAGCTGCACCTTGCCAAAGGAACCAGCTCCCAGAGTGGCCTTAATATCGTAATCATCCAATCCGTTTGATGGCGAGGGTGTGTTGGTCGAAAACTTCTTGTTGAAATCCTCTCGCAACTTGTCCAGAATAAGAACATAGTCCACCTTCGGACTGAAGTGCATCTGCGGTTGCTCCGATTGCAAACCCATCTTGACCCTATAGGGCTCGAGGGCTCACTGGCTACTACTAAAATGGATAAGAATATACAATAAATTTCGAATTTCTCATTTGTGGGTACATTAAAATTAAAATATGAAAACGCAGTCCGTTGGGAAATGATATAAATCACAAAGACTGCGCGATCTATAAAGTATATAAATACAATGCTTTCTTTTATAAAGTATTTATTCTGTGATTTTAACTATTGAATTTAAATTGCTTTCTTTTTGGTTAAAGATGTGCACTATGAAGACAATTTTCTCATTTTTCCGAACTAAAAGAAAGATTTTCTTAGGTTCTCTTAATGCAGATTTATTGAGCTCTTTGGTTTGATATGATATTTCCATATGTATTATATATTTAAAGATATACATTTACAGTTTAGCATTTTCATTTAAAATTAACTATGGTTTCTATGTCAGCCATAAGATATCGTCATCCAATTTGAAACAGCCAAGTAATCCTTTTGTTTTTATTCATTTTCTGTTCGCCCCTTTGACAGCTATATGATATACTGTCCAATCCAGCTTGTTCCAATTTATATACTAATGACAGAAACTAGTTTGGATAAAACGCACAGACGGACAGACTTAAATAAAAATACCTTGCAAGGGTATAAAAATAAAAAACAAAAATACATTATTATTTTAGACATGGATGAGGACGACTGTTTTCACTGCTGAACATTTAAAAGTTCTGAAATAGGTCGGGATGGCGGTCTATTGGAGAATTAAGCCGCTGCCTTACATTGTAGCTCTCGAAGTTGGAGAGATCCTCGTCGCCGGTGACACTTGGCACAAAGGGTGCTGGAACCTCCTGATTGAGAATGGCATACCATTCGACGCTCTGGAACCAGGCGTGATTCTTCACATCGCTGGAGCCTTCATTAGAGTTTCCTAAACTAAGAAGGGGCGACATGAGCAACTAGCACTGCCCGTAATCTTGCCCCATACTCACCGCTTCGAGGTATCCACCTGCAAGAGGTTATCCACAAGGTTCTTCAGGTGATTGCTGAAGTACACGGGCATCTTATAGTCACAGAGACGTATACTGTTGTACATCCGGAGTACATCGTTTCTAAAAGAGGCGAAGGGCGACCGCCCAGACACAAACTCATAGAGGAGAATGCCAAAGGCCCACCAGTCCACCGACTTGTTGTATGGCCGCAGTTGCACAATCTCTGGAGCCAAGTATTCAGGGGTTCCACACAGGGTCGAGGTGCGACTTTCCACGCGCTTTAATTAAAAACACAGTAATAAATTAATTAATAAGAACATAAAGTAGAATGAATTTTCTTGCTTCCTTGCTCTCACCTTTGCAAATCCAAAGTCTGTAATCTTGATGTAGCCCCGAGTGTCTATCAGAATGTTCTCGGGCTTAAGGTCTCGGTACATGAGGTGCATCTCGTGCAAATACTCCAAAGCCAGCACCACCTGGGCAGCATAGAAGCAAGCCTGTTTCTCATTGAACTTCCGTATCCTTAGGGTGGAGCGTTAAGGAGGCAGTCAGGACACTCGAAATACTCACCTGCGATGGTAGTTAAAAAGCTCGCCGCCGCTGATAAGCGGCATTATCAAGTAGAGATAGTCAAAGTCCTTTGACGAGTCCACCAGGTGGATGAGGAAGGGGAATCGTGCGGAACTTAGCACATGCTTCTCGTTATGGACATGAGTAACCTGTTTAGCCCGCACAAGATCTTCCTTGCCCATCATCTTGGCAGCAAAGTAGCTTGTCCCGACTTTCTCCTTGACCAGTAGCTACAATTTGAAAAGGATAAAGAGATTAAAGATCCCGAAGAAACCAGAAACTCTCGAACTTACCACAGTGCCAAAGCTGCCGTGGCCAAGAACAGCCCGCGGCTCATAGTTATGTAGGTTGCTGTAGGGAGACTTCTCCTGGTGGTTCCAGCGATCTTCAAATTCTTGTTTCATGTGTTCCAGGGTCGTATTGTAGTCTTCCTTGGAGTTGAAGGTGAATTCGTGCGTACTATGTTTGCTCATAACATAAGTCCGATCACCGGCCAATCGCGCATTTTACGGCACCAAGCCAACACCTTCCCATGGAAGGCGAGCCTGAATGGGCACTATGAGTCTAGGATCCGAGAGTGATCGCTGTCGTAACTCAATGTACAGAGAATTTGAATTTTCATAACATCCGTAACTGAATCAGAGATTCAGAGACAACTGAATCAAGGCCACAGCAAGTTTCTAATGAGTTCACAAGGAATCGTTAATGTATATTTTTATTAATCATTAACTTACTGGCAGTTAGAAATCCTTAAAGACTTCCTCATGACGATTTATCTTCGACTTTGGGCGCGGCCTATCGACTACTTTTTCAAAGTTGGAGATGTCCTCCGGATTGCTGATGTAAGGCACATAAGGAGCATTTAGTGTCTGATTGAGCATCGGTATCCATTCCACCTCCTTGAACCATTCATGCTCCTTGATGTCTCGAGTGCCGTTCTTTAGGTTCCCGTAGCTAAAACAGAGCTCAAAGAACATATAAACTACTTGCAAATAATATGAAAGTTTCTCACCGCTTAGAGAGATCCACCTGAAGGAGATGATCTATTAGATGACGCAACTGAGAACTAAAGGTGGTGGGTATTTTGTACGCAGCTTCGCAAATCTTGCTGTACATGATCATCACATCGCGATTAAAAGGGGAAAAGGGTGTGTTTCCGGCGACGAGCTCATAGACCAGCACCCCAAATGCCCACCAGTCGACGCTGGATCCATAGGGTTTCGACTGAATAATCTCCGGCGGCAAATACTCCGGAGTTCCACACAATGTCATGGTACGGGTCTCAACCTTCTGTAATGTTTGCGGGATATTCTCAAAGTAATCATAAGCAAAATATGATTTTAAGAAAATACCTTGGCAAATCCAAAGTCTGTGACCTTAATATAACCGTTCTTATCGAGCATTATATTTTCGGGTTTAAGATCTCTGTAGAGTAATTTGCAAGCATGCATATACTCTAGAGCCAAAAAGATTTGGGCGGCGTAGAATCGAGCCTGGGTCTCACTGAACTTGCGAACCCTAGGAAGAGATGATCAGAGGCTGATAGTAATAAAGAACGATAAAGAAAACCTTTTTAAAGCACTTGCAATTGCAATTTTAAAGAAGTCTCATTTTAAAAACTTAAGATACCAAACTTAAGCCATCTGAAATTCTTGCCTTAAGTGGTAAATACTTAGGCCACTCACTTTCGATGGTAATTGAAGAGTTCGCCACCTCCAATGAGGGGCAGAACAAGGTACAGGTTATCAAAGTCCTTGTAGGAAGCCACAAGATGCACCACGTTGGGAAACAACATTGAGCGCAGAACTGTCTTTTCGTTCATCACATGTACCACCTGCTTGGACTTTATAACCTGGTCCTTGTTCAGCTCCTTGGAGGCGTAGTAGGCCCCGGATTTTCTATCCTTGACAAGCTGCACCTTGCCAAAGGAGCCAGCTCCCAGAGTGGCCTTAATATCGTAGTCATCCAATCCGTTGATTGGCGAGGGAACGTTGGACGAGAACTTTATATCAAATTCTTCGCACATCCTTTCGAGGGTATGGGAGTAGTCCGTCTTCTGACTGAAATGCACCTTCTGTTCTTCCACCTGTTTACCCATTTTGACTTAAATTTTGTTTACAGCAAATTTTGAATTTCTAAAGCTCTAAACGCAGTCTGTTTGTAACTGACACAAAGCGCAAAAGTTGCCATGCGCATCTTAATAATTACACTTCATTTTTTCAATGTACAATAGTACAATAAATTGTAAAAAATGATACATTCTTAATAAATCACGAATAACGACTACTATATCTGCTCGGAAGTTACGACTTAAAATTTAGCAAACAGTTCAGCATGCTGATTGCTTCGGGATCTTGCGTGCTCTTGAAACGGGAAGTGCTGGAAGTTCGAGAGGTCCTCGGAACCGGCGACACTTGGCACAAAGGGTGCTGGAACCTCCTGATTGAGAATGGCATACCATTCGACGCTCTGAAACCAGGGATGATGCTTCACATCGATGGCGGTTTCGTTAGAGTTTCCTAAACTAAGAAGGGGCGACATGAGCAACTAGCACTGCCCATAATCCTATCTCATCCGCATACTCACCGCTTTGAGGTATCCACCTGCAAGAGGTTGTCCACAAGGTTCTTCAGGTGGCTACTAAAGAAGTTGGGCATCTTGTAGTCCTCGTTACAGATCCTGTTGTACATCACGATTGCATCGTGGCTGTAGCCGGCGAAGGGCGACCGCCCAGCCACGAACTCATAGATGAGGACGCCGAAGGCCCACCAGTCCACCGACTTGTTGTATGGTCGCAGTTGCACAATCTCTGGTGCCAAGTATTCCGGGGTTCCGCACAGGGTTGAGGTTCGACCGTCCACTCGCTTAAGAAATCAAATAATCAATGAATGAAGAAAAGTCCTTGCTTCCTTCCCCTCACCTTTGCAAATCCAAAGTCTGTGAGCTTGATGTAACCACGAGCGTCCAACAGGATATTCTCGGGCTTTAGGTCTCGGTATATGAGGAGCATCTGGTGCATGTACTCCAAAGCCAGCAGCACTTGGGCGGCATAGAAGCGGGCCTGTCTTTCGTTAAACTTGCGCACCCTTGGGGAGACTCGGTCAGGAATTAGTAAGGACACTCGGGAGGACGGCCACTCACCTGCGGTGGTAGGTGAAAAGCTCACCTCCGTTGACAAGCGGTAGGATCAAGTAAAGATTGTCAAAGTCCTTTGTCGAGTCCACCAAGTGGATGAGGAAGGGAAATCGGGTGGCACTCAGCACATGCTTTTCATTGTGAACATGTTGAACCTGATTCTGTCGCACCAACAACTCCTTGCTCATCATCTTGGCGGCGTAGTAGTTCTTTCCATTCTTCTCTCTGACCAGGAGCTAAGATTTTAAAGGAAAAGAAAGTCTGCTTAATTATTGCTTGCCAGAAGACTGTCACAACTGGAAAATATCAAAGACCGAGAAGCTAGAACCTGGCGATCTCACCACAGTGCCGAAGCTGCCGTGGCCAAGAACGGCACGCTGCACATAGTTGTGGAGATTGGAATGGGGAGACTGCGTAGGGTGGTTCCACCGCTCATCGAACTCTTGGCTCATGATCTGCAAGAGCGTATTGTAGTCGTCCTTGGGATTGAAGGCGCTTTGCTCCTTAGTCAGCTGGCTCATAACCGCAGTCCGATTGCCGGCCAATCACGCATCTTACGGCGCCAGTGACAACGCCCTCGAATAGCAGGCGACTCTGTCAGGTAGCGTATATTCTGGTTGCGGTAATGATTGCTGTTGTAGCTCAATATACAGGGAAATTTAGATTTCATAACTGCCAAACACGAGAGTCCGAGATTCAGAGACAACAGACTCCAAGCTCACACATATACAAGTAAACTAAAACAAATAGCTGGAGTTTCAGGTGGGAGGAATTCCTTCGAACCAAAGTCAAGGACTACTTCTTTCAATTAGCTGGGCGGAGAGTGCCACTCCTTCAAAGGTATGACAAATTTCCTTCAGAGGAAGGGACTGAGAAATGGCAATTTCCTGTGACTCTATGACTGTGTCTATGTCAGAGTCCTGCGTACACACACACATGTGTGTCCTGTCCTAAGTCCGACTTCTCGACATGTCCCGGTCGGATTCTGGCTCTCGTCCTGGCCGCAGAAGTAAGAAAAATTGCAAAACGTCCGCTTGATAAATGATGCTAACCAAGATTACATAAGTTGGTAATTTTCTAGTACATTTATTTCCACATGTCAGGCCAGTCGTCAGTCGGCCCGAGTGGGAACTCCACTCCGGCGGCGGCAACCGCATCTTCATGTTGATGGACATGTGAAGGCCCAAGCATCCTGTGACTGTGAAGGGATCCAGTCGGGACGAAGCCGAGAGTTGTTGCATGCTTTTAAGGTAACTGCCTGGCGAACCGTTTATTGGCCATTCCGGATACCGAATGGGCCAGGCTGTTGTCCCACCTAAATTGACAATTAATCATTATCTTTCGGGACCGGTCCCCAGGACGATGGCATTCAGATTGGCAGATTGCCTATGGCATTGTGTGTGTGTGAGTGTGTGTGTCCTATGTGAAAATGGGTTTCTAAATATCCCTGGGCCTGGCCTAATGCCCTGGCATTTATCCTGGCGAACACTATTACAAAACGGTGGTAGTGTCTGACTCATCTGGCCGAGCCACAAAATTACTTGGAGGACGCTTTTAATTCGCTTAAAATAATACAAATCGTCACGTACTTAAGCCTGAGACAAAAGCCACTTTCACTTGCAGGGAATCGTGCAAAAACTAAACAATTTCACTTAGCCGAAGGCTCATTTAACTAGGGATCTGGGATATGAGATCTGGGTCCTGGGATCTTTGGAGAGAAATCCATGCCGCTGCCGCCAGATAAACTCCAGTTGGCTAAGATATGTTAACGACGGCCATAAATAAGCGGATAATATCTGGGAAGGCCTAGTAGTGCTAGCTAAAAACATACTCACATATATGAGGCAGATTTCAGATGCGTTCGCTAAGCGGGCCAAGAGCAGATTAAGTCGCACGCACACGTTTCTTGGCCGTTTCTTTTGGCCACACTTAAAATTCATTTGTTGTCTCTGGCGAAAGGACGACTCAACTAGCGCACAGGACTCACACCCACTTGGGACCAGCTTCGCCCAATGTTATGCAAAGTAATTGACGCCTCGATGAACTGTTGACACACATGGCATTTGTCTTTGGCTAATATTTGGCTTAGTTATCAGGGCCATTTTTTGGGCTTAAGTAGGTGAATGTCCCCGGGACTATGGCCAAATTCAATTATGCTGAAAGGTTTCAGTTTTCCAAAGCCTAGAATCCCAATCCACCCTTCTGCTCGTGGAGAAGCAGCTGCCCTAGGACTGGCCTCAGCCATTAGTGCTAATCTCCGGACAATCGCTAGTAAATCAAGGCACACTCTGCACTCGCCGGCCGGAAAATGCATTCAGGATTCCGGTGATTCGGCGGCACAGCTCACAGTTCACCGGGCAGCAACAATGTCGCCTTTCAGCCACTGGCAAAACAACAACAGCAGCAGCAAGCAGAGCAAAAAAAAAAAAAGGAAAACCCTTCACGACGTGTGCTCGGATTCGGATTCGAATTCAGAAGGTGTAACTAATCCGCTGGCCATGTGACTTTTGTCATGCGCCGATCCGATCCAATGTCAAATGTAGTACGTACACCATTCATACCATTTACCATTCACGAAAATCGGCACCCGATCCGAGGAGTAGCGAGCTGCCGACTGTTGACGAGGACGACAAACCCTTGCCCAAATCCAATCCGAATGCAAAGGTTTTCCACACAATTCCACCCCAAAAACATGGCCCAGCGGCTTTCCACCTTCAATCAACGCATCTCCCACCTCCAATTTCCGATTGATTCCGCTGTGGGTTCGCTTGTAATCCGTTCAATGAGTTTGCTTTGCACTGGAAAAACAAGGATACATGATGCAAAATTATGGAAATTAACTTAGAAGATGTATAATATCATATATATACTTTATTATGATAATAGAACCCTTCCAATATAATATAATTTTAGTCAGAAGTTTGAAACGCAGTGAAGAAGTCATTTCCGACCCTATAAATCATATATATTCTTGATCAGGATCAACAGCTGCATCGATCTAGCCATCTCCATCTAGCCATCGCCAAAAAATTGAATTTGTTTAAATTTAAATTTGAGTATGCAGATTTAAACCCAAGAAGAACTAACTTAGGAGCGCTTTCTAAATTCAAATTAATTAATTTTTGATTTAGTTGTGAGTGTTTTAGACTTTGATTTGTCTACAAAATTGTCATGTAAAAATATGCTAAAAAAAAAAACATTTCCCATTGTTTCGGATATTAGAAAAAGTTCTTTCCCCTTCTCAAAGTTGGATTTGATTTATTTAATATTCGGACGTTACAAGTATAATCATTTTAAATTGTTGGGCCAGTGTAATCATAAGACGGAATCACCACAACAATGGATCAGCTTGACTCGTACAACATTTTGACATTTTTCACTTGACTGCCGTTTTTGTCCATGTGAGGGATATTCCACTGATGCATAATAGTAATATTCATAATTTTCCTTTTCCATAACCAACTCCTGTATCGATGCTACCTTGCTCTGTCCTGGCACATAAATCAGCCGCGAACTATTGACACAACCCGCTGGCCATAAATCAGTGGGGAGCAGATCCGTGGACATCAGGTTCGCATATACACAGTCATGGTCGCCATATTCTAAACAAATTGCTCCCAAATCGCCCGGGACTACACACTATACATATATGCATATATATATAGTAGAAATATGTATATGGATGGGATCGCATCCGTGACGCTCTAAATGCCCCGGCAAATAATGTAACAAAGCGTGGAATAAAACAATTGCCACAGTTTTAACGTTTTGCATTTGCCATAAATAAACATGAGCCGGTGGTCCTTGGTCCTGGTGCTGGGGCTGGTCCTATTCCTGGTCCTGTGCTCCTTCCTCCCTCCCTGCCCTTCCGCTGCTAAATGCAAAAATGCTCAACATTTTATTGAAATTCAATTAAAGTCGTATTTCAATAATTGGTCACGCATGGTGCGCATTTCCGTGCCCGTCCGCTCCTAAATGCCGCTCCAAAATTTATGACTTTTCAATTCGAATGTCGACTGTTTTCCTTTTCTCTTTTTTTTTCATTTCGGAAAGCAATTGAAATGCTGCCACTTGGCCAGTGCGTTGTCCTTTGTCCTTTGTGGAAATCGGAAATTGTTGCAAAATTCGGTGGCATTTTGAGGAGGAGTTCCTTTGGCTGCTGCATTAGGCTGCAAGTTCTTATCAGTTTTTCTGGGCTCACCCTTGTCACCCTGAAATCGAGGAAAATCCCCCTGCCATTTTTCCCTTCCCCACCCCCACCCCCCCGGCTTTGCACCCTCACGTTAAGTGTGCAGCATTTTTGCGTGATTTGTGCGAATTTCTGTGTCGCTCGTTGAGGCCGATAAAATTTTCCAGAGAAGGAGGAAACGCGATACGGGGTGGTTGTTTTGCCAACTTCATGTAGTTTCTGCCTTTTGTTGATGTTGTTTAGTGCCATAAATTCTTTTTTACTTGTCATATCTGATACTCCGTGGGTCTCTCTCTCCATTTAGGCACAGATCATTAAGTTTTGCACTGCGTCTATCTGATTTAAAGACGGGAAAAGAACATGTGTAATGCCATAGAATCTCCACCTCCTCCTTTGCCTCCGCCCTCAGAATTTATCAAAATGTCAATTGGCCTGCCGACTGTCATGGCTATTTAGCTTTTGGATTCGGATTCAGATTCAGATTCACCACTCGACGGGGCATCCTCTAATTAACGAGGCGTTGATGCCACATTTTGATGAAAAAAATCAATTTGAATTGAGGCGACATCCCATCTCCATCTCATGAAGGCTGTTGCTCAATCTGTTCAAACGGAATCCATCAAAACTTCACCAAGAATAACACTGTCAACACAAATGGCAGACAAGCCTGATGATGGAATGAAGTCTCATCATTGAAATAGTGATTTTTATATACAATTTCTTAATTATTTTCTATTTATATAAACTTTAAATTTCATTATTTTTTTAAGAAGTTTTTTGTTATTGAAATTGGGTATAAAAGTATGCAAAGTTGGTGGTTGCTTTTCTGGCCATTCTTCTGATATTTTCTTAGACTTTGTAAGTAATTTTGCATATCCCCTATCCCCATGCTCAATTATCATATATTTTTATCACGCATGAACCTCATTAGAGTGGCATTCTTTTAAACCCAAAGAACAAGTCACAAAATGCTGTGCAAATAATCAACCTGAGGGACGATCAAAGCGATGTTGACACCGACATCTTCTGGGTGTGTACCATACCCAATTCCTGAATGCATTCCCAACACACAAAGAAAATAATATATATAAGATATGTGATTTTATATTAAAAACTTGAAATAACTCAAGGCACAAAAAGTAAGTAATTTCTAAGTGATCTCAATTACTATACAGGCAAATAGAAATAATCATATATTTTAGGACGTATTTTCTCCCCTAGAAAATACCTTCAATTACACCTCATTTTCTTTTCCGTGTAGCCCTGCTCCACCTTTTCCGCCCATCGTGTTGTTGGCCATGTTCCGTGCATCTTTATGATCTCCTTAGATCTCCGCTGGCTGCCAACATATTTTTACACGCCAAACATTTTATTTTGACAGGCATGCGATTTGCACGCTTAATTGAGACAGGTGCATCCGCGGGGGAAATGGGTGGAAAAAAGCAGCAGGAAAAGCGGTATAACGGGATAGAAAGGGAAACACGGGAAGTGCGGCCTAGCTGCGACATGTGTTCCCCAATGGTGTTGCACAAATGCAAAGATTTATCATCGTGCCACATGCCACGTGTGTTCTCCATTTCGTCGCCTCCGCTCCGCTGCGCTTTTCACGGGAAAAGCCAGCGACGCTCGCCAAATGCAAAATTAACAACCTAATTAATAGTTGGCCCCGGCCAGGACAGGTCTCCGCCTCCCAGCTAAGAGTCCTCCTCCCGCACTTGTAGCAGGTCTGGTCTGTTGCAGCTGCCCCAAGCAATTTGCTGGGTATTTTTCGCACAGTGCATTGATGTAAGGCGGCCAACACTCCCATCTAACTTGTTGGCCAAGTGCCTTGAATGCTTCTATAAACATAATGCTGGGATTCTCAAAAGTTAATAGATTTTAAACTATAGAGGTAATAAATCTATAAAAAAAATTATACAGGAAAGAAAGAAGTAATATATTCCCTTAATATTAAAGAACGAAGAAAGTTTGCCTTAATCTCTAATAGATTTTACTTCTATTTTCTTGGGAAGAAATGTATCTTATACCTTTTTTTTAGCTTTCCAACTCATTAATAGATTGATTTATATATTCCTTAAATTCTCACATTTTTGGGTATCTCTTAGTCGAAAAAGCCAACTTAAGAGCACTTCCCACATGTCGCTTTTCCGTTTTTTAATTGAAGCCATCTCAGGCCGCCAATATTTTGGAGGAGCAAAACCGCAAACTAGGAGTAACTAACGGCCAGCGGGCGGCGCTGTCAAAGTCAGCTGCCGTTGCACAGATCCTACTATATATCCTTCTATATTCTATTCTCCACATACCGATATCCCTATTTGCTCCTATTTCCAGCTATTCGGTGGCAGTGTCTAAAACGTTTGAAAAATTCCAAATTGACTGCCGGACCCCAGGATGTCCGCCTAGACTAATGCACAGAAAGGAAATAGGGATATGAAAAGGGGTTCTAAGGGAAGTTAATTTCTCTAGAAAGAAAACTGAACACTAATAGAATATATTAGGCAGATTATTTATTATTTTTATGTGCTAAATAACCTTTTCACAGATTGAATTTACTTAAATACATACTAGTTACAAGTCACAAATCATATTGCTTTTAAGGAAACTGCTTTAGAAAAGTATATTTTAAGAATATATATAAGGTCCTTACTCCAATTTTCTTTATGTGTTAAGGCGTTTGCGGTAAACGGACTTCTCGTTTCGGGCCGGACGTTTATTGAACATTTTTACTTGCGGTTGGAGAACCGTTTTTGGCGAAAATGAAAATGGTAAATGGCAGGATTTTATTAATTTTTGTGTGAGCTCGTCTCGATTTCACGGACAGCCTTAAATGCAAATCGCTGCAAATGGGATTTGCCAAAAAGAAAAGCGGAGGAAGGATGAGGGCTTGGCCCAAAAGCACACACAAAAAAAAAGCAAAAGAAGAAAGAAATGCGTTAAATGCAAATTGGATAAGATGTCGTCGTGTCAGAGTGGAGCAGTGCATGTGGCTGCCAAGATATCCTGGCGGATATCCTTCGCCTATCACATGACTGCGGCTGAAAACGAACCGAATCCAGCCGAGCCGAGCCTTTGCTAAGGCGAAATGGAAACTTTAAAGTGGATTATATCTGGAGGATGTCCTCGGGAGGACGACGTCGACGACGAGTGTCCTGTGTCCTATCTCTCCTGCGCTTCGCGAAAAACATAAATCCGTGAGTTTTTGCGGGCGAAATTTATGGCGCTCGCGACACTCGCGAAAGTTTTGGCGGCGGCATCAGCGGCATTGTTGTATTTATGACCGCGACATGACCTGCTCACATAAACGGTCGAGTAACGAGTCCTGAATCCGGAATCCTGAATCCTGAATCCTAAAACCGGAATCCCCCGCAGCCGAAAGTGTTGCAGCCGTACGTGCGAGTCCTGGCGAGAAGGAAATTGGATTTGCCGGCGCTACGAAGGACTTGGCTAAGCGCCTCTTAAATCTGCACGCCTGTCAATTTACTTTTTTGATCGAAATTTATGTCCGCCGCGGCTAATGAGCGCTCCGCTGCAGTTACGAAAATATAACAAGGATCCCAGGAGGCAAAAGTCCTGGAAACATAGAAAACAGAAGACGCCTTGGCACTCTGCCCCAGTTCCAATTGAAGTTAATTATGTGGAATCTCTAGATTTACATGGACACTGGACAGTCAACCCTCAAAGGAAATACGAGTACTCGGTACTCGGTGGCATTGTGAAAAAGCAAATCAATTCAACCGGATGCAGGATGTCTGGATTCTGCTTATGACTGCAGAATCTCTAACTACGGAGTTGCCGCATGCCTCCAGGACATGGTCAGTCGTCCAGGACGCAGCCATAATTATTGTTATGTTAATGGGAGATTGGGGTCGCTCTCTCTCTCTCTTTGGCCATAAAGCCATCACCATTCAGTTTGGGATATCGACAAATGTTGTTTGTCCATCAGTTTTCCTGTGTTTGCCCTGCGACTTTGCATAAAAATGGCTGAGTAGAGTCAAAGGGGGAATGGGTAATACTTGTATTTATGAAGGCTTTCCAAAAGGAAACCATTAGAAATCAGGGTTTACTAGGAGAGTCCTGGAGTTTGTGTATAAGAAAGAAGTGGGTTTTACTATTGACAATGTAAATAATATTTAAGTAAATGAAATCTAGGAAAGTTTCCTCTAATAATATAAATGAAGAGATTTACTATACTCTTCCTTCATTACAACTTTATTTAGTTGTAGAATTTCTCCTGGTTTTGTAGCTCTAAAAATTATATAAATTGCTCTATTTTTTATTTACTTGAAATTACAAAGTTCCAGTCGCAATTATCCTCTTAATTTTTCTTTACAAAAGTAACCTAAGCTCAGCATCTGATAATGAGGACCATGCCGAATGTCCTTCTTTGTCTGTTAAGAGCCTGAAAGTGTGACAAAGATTCCTGTTGCGGCCATTAAGTTCACACCACAACCGGAGACAGGGGGCGTGGCTAGCGCACTCCTTTTTTTACGATGGGGTTTGCCCCTCCCCAAGGACGAGATCTGCATCTGAACCGGGCGTCAGCGGTCCTGATAGGTGTGACACATCCCCGCGTGATTGATGAAATGTTTGGCCATAAACCCAACAACCAACAACCGAAAATGGGAGGCTGCCGCTCGGACCGCCAACTAATTTCCACATTTTTCACATTTACGAAGACAAATTGAGGTGCGAACTTGGGTCGAGGCAATAAAACTGCCTGAATATCAAAACAACGAAATCTTTGCAACACTCGTCCATAAAAAAAAGCAAAGGAAAAAGAGTTGAGGGTTGAGAGGGAAAACCCCCATTGAACCGAACTTGAACTGTTGGTGGCAGGCATGCGAAATTTCACGAATGCCAATTGTTTCCCGATTCTCGAGGAGATTCCCAGCGAAATGTCACATTATGAGAGTCCCGGAAAAGGGATGCGGGATGCCACTATAAAAGTCAATATCTAGGACAATAAATTGCGACTCCTTCGATACAGTTCCACTGCTCCGCTTTTGAGTTAGAGTTCGTGGCGAATCGTTGGCCATGAGTTTTCCCTCCTTCGGTTTAGTTTTCCATTTCATTTCGTTTTATGCCCGGCTCGCCAAAAGTTGTCAACGGCCATAAACCAGGACCAAGGCTTCCATTCCCCCTTCGCTTTTCAGTAGACTTTTCCCCCCCGCGTCAGTGATTTCCATTAGCATAATGCCTGGATTCGACGATCTGATGCGGACTTTTGATTTCCCTTGCTCTTACTTTCGATTTGCCACAATTCCATTTTATTTATTTTGCCGGCCAAAACAAAATTACATTTTAAAAACTTTTCCCTCTCGTTTGTTTTATTTGTTTCGTTTCTGCGGAGTACAACAAATTTTTTTATGGCTAATGTATGCGCTTGGGAAATTGATTGGGGATTTTTCCTCCCATCCCCTCCCCTCCCCTCCCAAGAGAGTGTTTTCTGCGCGACCTTGACTGCTGACGAGTTAATTGTTAATCGAGTGCCAATGCCATGTCAGTTGGCGACCTTGGACCAAAAGCAGGGGGGATCCATTATTCCTCGGTGGATCCGAAACTGGTTCAAGAGCACAAATTGAGGGAGAAAGAGCTGCGAATTTTGAGGCTCTGGCCGAAAATAGAATGGCCACAACATCTGGTTCATATAAAACCGAAAAAAAAGTGGAATGAAAATGCAAATGGAAATGAATCTGCGTTCTTGCTACTTCATTTTCTGAAAGAATTCACGCACCGCACAGTGATCCGTGGGTTCGATGGCTCCCATGGACACCTGGTACAGTAGAGACTGCACAATGAAGGGCATTCGTTCGCTGCGATCCATGTTGCTCCAGTGGAGTTTCAAGTCGGATCTGATTTGGCGAATTCCCATTTTGGGGCTATTCTTTGGGCGATTTTTGATATAGCATAGCCGAAAGTTATCGAAGGGCTTCTCCTGGAGTTTCACTCCCGCATGGGCCTGCCAATGGAAACGTAGCTTTTCCATGGACGTCAGAGACTCCCAGGATGGTGCACATTGATCCTGGCAAGTTTCTACCTCATACAGAGTCCTGGCACGAAGCTCCATACGGATTAATTGCTCTGGCGTGGGAAGACTCTCGCTGCAGATGCTCTCCAATTTGATTGAACTCTTTTGTTGGGGCAACATATTGATAAAGATCTGCGACTCGTATTTCTTTAGATTTTCCTCGATTTCGGAATTACAAAGCTGTTCTTCTTTTACTTCAGGGATTTCTTCACAGGGCTCTTGTTTGATTTCTTCGTTGACTTCCTCAGAGGTCTCTGTACATGATTCCTTGCAGCATTCTCCCTCCTCAGGTTCACATTTCAGTTGCCTTTCGTCCTGTTTCTCACACATGCTCAATATCAAATCCAATTGACTGGATCTCAGATCCGACAAACGAATCATACGCGGCTCACAACGCTCCTCGCCATCATAGGTCTTCAAAGGACCAGGATACTTGTGGCGGATTGTGTAACTAGGACGCACAACCAGAAAGTGTTTCCCATACTTTTCCCTTGAGAGCTTTTTCTTTGCAGGAGCTTTAACCTGATTTTCACGAATTAAATTTAGCAAACAATACAAATCGGCGGTTAGAATTCTACATAAAAAGTCCATAATTGAGGAAAGTGTAAATTTTGTAGTAAATGTTTTGGAATTTTAGGTAATAAATAAATTTTCTATGTTCATAAAGGATGAGTTATCAAATGGGAGTTGCTTTGTCGATTAATGTAACAAATTTATATTGAAAAGGTAAATAATCAATGATTAAATGTGAAGTTTAAAAGATTCCCTTCCAGGGTATTATAATTTCAGTCACAAGCTTGAAACGCACTGAAGGAGTCACTTCCGACCCTATAAATCATATATATTCTTGATCAGCATCAACAGCTTAATCGATCTAGCAATGTCTGGTCGAAAAAAAAATGTTCGATTTTTTTTCTAAGTTTTATAAGGGGTTACATCGTTAAAATTGTCAAAAAAAAATTGCAAAAATTTTGATTATGTGAAATATTATTTCGAGTATGCAGATTTTATAAACTAATAAAAACTAACATAGGACAACTTTCCGATTTAAAATTAATGCTTTTTTGGCATAGTTATGAGTTTTTTAAGCATTGATTTGTACAACAAATTATCATATAAAAACAAAGAAATATCGTCCAAATAATGGTATTATACTTTCAGTCAAGAACTTGTAACACAGTGAAGGAGTCATTTCCGACCCTATAAATCATATATATTCTTGATCAGCATCAACAGCCGAATCGAACTAGATATCTCTGACAGAAAAAAAAATGTTGAAATTTTTTTCAAAATTTTATTAAGGGTTTTTACATCATTGAAATTGTAAAAATTTGCCCAAAAATTGAATTTTTTAAATTATAAATCTTGGTATGCAGAATTGTTAGCCGCATAAAAATTAATACAGAACATCTTTCCGAATTAAATTTGATGCATTTTTGGCTTAGTTATGATTGATTCACATTCGAGGTCATAATTTTATGAGTACCTCGTTCTCAAAGTTAGCTTCCTTTCTAATTTATTAAATAAATACAGTTCTATCTTCCTTAAATAAATAACTAAATTTGCCGCAAATATTACGAAAACGTTACGATTTGCCTTGTAATATTTCTCGCGTATTTCCCCCCTGTGATTGCGTTGTCAAAGGAATCCCAATTTCGCCCTGCTTAATTTACTGTTCACGGAAATATATGGCTCCATATTATAAATGCGAAAATATACTCACTCTATATGGCTAAATCCACATAAAAGTCAGATGGGGAGAGGGCGGTGCTAGGATATGACAGCGTGTGTTTTGCTATATTAAAAATGCTGCTGTTGCTGCAAAAAAACAAGAACGACAACAAATGATGGAAAAAAAGTATTGGAATAGAACGAAATAAAAAGAAGAGCGTACGTATGAAAGGAAAACATTGGGATTTCCACATTTATTCGCTTCTCTCCTCGTTTATTTATGCGGGGCGGAATCGCAATTGGAACATTCATATTCATTCTTCCGATTAAGCAGTTTTCATGGTCATCGCCAAACGTTCGCCAGCCTCATCGCGAATCATGGCCGAGATAAAATAAAATAAGTGGCCTAAATAAAAGCTAAAGGAAAAGCCAAACAGTCAGTGGAAATCTCTCACAGCACCGCCGAATTGCTGCAATTATTGAAATTAATTTCATTTATTACATCATGAAAATATTTCCCCCCACAGCCTCAGCCTCAGAGCAAAATATTTTCGCCACACGCTGTCCTCTTGCAATTAAGGATTGGACATTGACTTGTCTGCGATGGCGCTTTCTGTGTGCGTAATTTGAAGTTAATAACGTTGAAATAAAATCCCCATTCGATTTGTATCGTCCCCCATTTAAGCGGGCGAACATTTGCCAATTGTCCAGGACCAAAAACATGAACAGACACTGAGGGAAAACTAAGGTGGAAACTAAGTTAAAATAAAATGGAACGAACCTAAGGAAATTCAATTAATTCACTCAGCAAAGTAACAAAGGAACTGTTAACATAACCATATAAATTAATAAATAAGTATTTAATCATTCAAAGTTATAGGTTTTAGATTATCTGAACTGGAAACTATGGTAATTATAAATTTCTTTCTTTCGAAACTCAATTAATTCTCGCACACCAAATTTTCAAAGAACATGTTATTCTAACCATATAAAAATATAATTATATATTATATTTTAAATATAGTTAAATCTTAAAAAGCTTTATAATAATAATCAGTCTAGTAATTTAATTTTTCAGTGCACAAATAACCAGAGTTGGGTGAGTTTAGCTCTATTGGTGTACTACCTATAAAGTCTGCAATTAATTGCTATGAATACGCATATATCTATATATATTTCTGTTCGATATGTCATCAAATTTTTCATAGAATTTATGATTCACATTTGGGATGAATGTGGCCAGTATGCGCTTTAATAATAAACAGTTCTCTCATATATGAATAAGCGCTAAACGAGTTCTACAATCTCTAGAGAGGCTACCAATCTTCGCAGCCTCTCAAATGGGGATTCCCCCTGGTATAAATGAACTGAAGATGAGCTGGAGGAATGGTTTACGACAACGTCTAGGTGAGCCAGAAAGTGCCCCGTGTTGTGGCTAATGGCAATGCGTCGGCCACAGCTCCCAGAACTATAAAATTCCCATTTAGAAGTCGCGCGGAAGCTTTCGCACTCGCCGGAGGGGGAAAAGTGTGTGGCAGTTTTCCTCATGCTTACGTGAAAACAATTTTTATGGCATGTCAAAAACCTATTTTAATGCTTTTAATGAAAGCGAATTTTATTGCATTACTTTTCGATTTTACGGCCCGCCCAGCGAAACCCCCCGAAAATCGCAAGGCGCCGCCAGAGGCGAGGCGTTAAAATACACTCAACTCAAAATGTTGACAAGATCGTAAAAAAGAAAAGTTTCCGTGTCAAAGCCAAAAACAGGTGACACAGCAAAAACACTAAAAAAAACCGCAAAAAAAAAAAGAAAACAAAATAAAATGACAAAAAAAACAAGAAAAGAAACCTTGCTCTTAACAAAGGCCACTTAAACTGCCAATTGTGGTAAGCTTTTTCTCTCTCTCTCGGTTGCAAAAACAAGAGACGTTTTCCTTGTGGCATTTTTGCATAAATTCGAAACTCGCTGGCGACGCTTTTCGAATTTCCCCAAGCTGGCTGCTACCTTTGCCAAATTCATTTGACCAGAAACTTAAGTTATATTTTGGCCACCAGCCAGGGACTTCCGAAAGCGACATGTTTAGTGGCACGGCAGCGACAAAAGCTTTCAGCCATAAAGGATGCCGGCCGCAGGCAAAAGGGTCCTGCACACGTCGCCTGTCGGAGCACTCAATGTCATCCAACTGAGGGGGATGAGGGGAAGGAGGGAAATGCAGTTCCCCAGTTCCAGTTCGGCGAAACAATGACATGAGTTTTGGACGCACTTTTGCCCTCCCCCCTCCATATGCGGGGACAATCCATATTGCATGCATTAAATATCTCATATATGGTTGGAGCAAGCAAACTAAATGGATTCGGGGTCGCCAGTATTGACAGGGTCAGTCATGCATTGTTGGCCGGCCAAAAAAAATTAAAAGAAGAAACGGTCGGGATGTCAACTGCAGGGACAGCTCACAACTTTTGGCCCGGCCTCTGAAGAGGACAACGATTGAGGAGGTCTAAAACAATGGAAGATGGTTTATATGAACATGTTCTATTTATTTAATGTGCACGGAAAATTAAGCCAAATTCTAAGGGGAATATTCAGGGGTGCCACAAAAATCTGTGTAGATTTGGGATTTATGGAAATGTAATAATAATTATTTAAATGAAAATAATTAAATATATTTTATGCCATTTTTGGAACTCAGAAACAAACTTTGCGCAATTTTTCAATCTTCTAATGATGTCGTATTTGAATTTAAGACAGTGCTTATATAAAGATATATCCTTGCTTCAAGGAATTTTTATTTACACCAAAAAGGGAAGCAAATTCAAGCTCTAAGGATCTATATACTATATTTATTTGTCACGGGGGTTGCTACTAAATATTTTGTATGGTAAAATATAGTAACCCAATCGAAGCTAGATATCTATGGCCTCCTTGGCTGTGTGTGACGAATGCCTCTACTCTCCCTTCTCCTTTGATCAGAGGGGTGTCATTAGCCGGGATTCGTTTCATTAAAAAAGAAGCTATGGCAATGGCAGCCGCAAGTGACAAAGTTAGAGCACACAAATTCGTTTCATTGGGCCATAAAAAATAGCACACAAAAAAACAAAATGCAAATGAGAAAGCGAGCTGTGAGGCCGCGAAAAAAAAAGGTGGAACGCTTTTGCAAGTAATTCCCGCCGCCAGAGAGAGACCCTTGACATTAGAGGTCCTTCTTTCTTTCAGTCCAAAACGAACCCCAACTCCATATTACCCTTCGCATATAATTACAGTTATTTGTGTAGCTAATTAATTGCTAATCAATCATAGGACGAGGGCGAAACGGACCCACAGACGGACACAATAAAAAGGACGCGCCGTTGTTTGCCTGTCACTAGACCCAAAGGACATCTCAATCCCGGGGACTTCTAAGTATTCCCCCAACCTCGAAGGAGGACCAACTTTTGTCCGTAGACAAAAGCCTGGCGAAAACAAAAGCTTAGCGAAAGATTGATCACAGCCAACCGGCGGGCGAGCTGCACCTGTTTGCTTACTCACGGTTATTAGCCAGGACACGCAGGATCCGCAGGACTAGCGAAAGAGACGGTGAGGCGGTCCCGGGGCATGCAAATGGCCAGCAGCCAAAATGCACTCAGAGAAATTGCATTAAATAAAGATAACTCTGGTTAGAAAGAAGTTTAAAGTGCGAATGAATTATGTAGATTAAAGCCAAGCCAAAAGTCATGTTTAATATTTGTTGCGAAGAGTTTTTTCTAAAGTAATCTGAGATCTCATTGTATTTAAAAATAATAATATTTTTCCAAGCAATCTTTTTCTAATATGTATGAGTATTTGCAATATATTTGGACTTAGATTTGCCTCAGGGGCAAAACATTTCTCCTAAGTGTATTTTTGGCTACTTATGAGCAAAGAAGTGTCAATCCTGGCTCGCTTTTTTGCACCTTTGCCAGGATATGGTCGAGTGCTAGGTTGAATCCTTCGTCGCCCCCAATACTTTTGGCCCTCTTGTCACTGTCACTCAGAGCTGA